GGAATCCTTGGACCAAGCCCTTTCAAATGAGTCCTATATCGCCAAAATCGTTTCAGTGGTTTAGAAGGAGTACGTGTACGATTTAAGAATAGTAGCAAAAATTCTAATGTAGAGGGAAATTAACTACCTGTGTGATAAACAAAAAGAAAGCAAGGACGTCGATTTGAAAATTATCACTACCATTGGGCGATAACACGAACTCAAAGAAAAAGTCCCCATAAACTTCAAATAAACAAACATGGTTTAATTAAAACAAAATGCCATATATCGCTGATAACGATACAACAATTTATTAAATTTAAAGAAAGGCGACCCAAAGAGTTTCGGTTACTAAAGACCAATATACATCCTCCCGGTAATTGCAAATTTTTCGAAAAATACGTCACACTATATTTAAATAAATTAGGAGACGAGAACAAGGTAATAAATGAGAATCAATATGGTTATCAAAAAGGAAAGAGAACCGAACATAATTAACTAAATTCACGGAACTAGCTGCGTTTGCACCTCCAGATGCAGTATGGGGGGGGGGGGGGTCTTATGGACTAAATGCCTCTTTATTTCCGCACTACAATGATGCCAAGCTGACATATAATGATTGAATTGAAGTATTAAAACACCACACAATCTCTTTTTTCTGTCATTGTTACGTTTGTTAATAAGTTTGGCAGGCATGTACTGTATGCATATGCACATAAGAACCATACTGCATCTGGAGGTGTGAAAGCGCTATAGGTAAAAGTAGGTACACGATTGCAATATTCATTGACTTTTCCAAGACGCTCGATACCGTTTGCCATAAACAGCTACTAAAGTGCATGAAAAATATAGGAACTAAAGAAACAAGTTCAAAAGTAATCGTAAACGATTTACAAAAAGCGCATTTCCACTTTTATTCATTTCCCATTTGTAAGATGCAACTTCTGTTAAAATCGTAAAAATCCGGCCACAAATATGAAAGATAGCGTTGCACATGTACAATCCACGTGCTACTTCAATTTCTGTTTGTAAGAAGAATTTCCTTTCAATGCTTTTCTAAATAAGAAAGTTGGAACTGCGCATGCGCAAATCTAAATTTTGAAACTAACGTTAGATTTTCATTTTTTCCAAGTGCCTATGTATCAAATTTCATTCAAATACTTTTATAAATAAAAAAGTTTGCAATTTGGTGTATAAATGGTCGAGATGCGAAAAGGGCACTGTGAATTTTGAATCGATTCGACTCAACTTTTCGCATTGCGTATTATATGGCTAAAGCTATGCCCATATTGAATTTCATGCAATTGAGTTCATAACTAACGGAGATGTAAAAGCGATCGAACATTTCTAAACAAAGTTATCGTTCACACGGACAGATAGATGGACAGACAGACAAAGGAACAGACGGAGAGACCAACCGGCAGGCGACAGATAGCAATGCAAAATTATAAACGATCTCTAGGATCGTTAATAAACGGCAAAAGTGTAAAATTATGGAACATGTAAAAAACTGTTTTTTTACAATAACTTTTTCAGCAGTAAACGCCTTTCTTGGTGCAAACCTCGACACCATAACGAACCAAATAGCGAAAAAAGTAGAACAATAGCTCTTAAGATAAAGAACTAGTAGCGTCTCAACAAACGAGCGGACGGACGGACGGACAAAGTGGCCACAATAGCGCTTTTTTTAATTTTTGTGGAAATGCGCTAAAAATGTACCTCGTGCAATTGTAGCAAGTCGCTGATCTCGAGCAGATGGAAATTCAACGCCCCATGTATAATTTCCCCAGATCGGCTTTCGGAGGAGATTTTTGCGTAGTGGTTCCGTATCCCGGGATATCTATACTGTTCTCGTCGATTTCGGCTGGATGTCTTCTTTGTAGAAATTCCCCAAAATTTAATGCTGGCCGGTGAAAATAACCTTTGGCTGGTTAACGAGAAAGTGCTAGTAGGTGGAAATAAAACGCCAGCTTCTTTCATACATTACCAAAATGCTGAATACTTTTGTCGCAATAGCTGGTGGAGTTCTTCTTATACAACTTAATTAGTTTTTGCCGAAAACAAACTTTTTTACTTTTTCACTTCTCTACGCAAACCCGACTATTGCACGCAACTATCCCTTTTAACTAACCAACTAATTGAAAATAAATGAACGTGAGCGCATTTTCGAATAGGACATTTTTCGGTTCGGTATTTGTCCGGTTAGAAGAAACTCTGAAAGGGAAACTGATCTACATAAAATTCTGCAATTATTTGCCCATTTAGGCGACTTTGTATCTCTTACGGTTTCCGAGATCCCCATACTAAACATCGGAAAAAACTCACCTTTATTTATATTTTAGATGTAATTTAAAAATATAACTTTTTGTGGGGACTGACTGATTTTAGGTACCTACCTATACTTACTAGTTACCTATACAGCAAACTGACCAAAAGACGAACAATTTATTCTGGCTGCATACACCGGAAGTGGAATAATTCAATGAAAGAACGTTGCTCGACCGTTAGGCGTGAGAAATTTCATTAATAAATAATCTGCAATTAGACTAAAATTCAGGAAAACACAATTTATTCTATTTGTGATATTTCAAAAAAAATTGTGCAGACAAGCATTCAAGGCTTGAGATCTAGTCTGAATAAGATCGACAGTACAATCATGTAGCAATGTGCAACTAATCAATCAAAATGTTCGAATTCGTTTTAGGTATGTGCCACTCGAAGAAGCCTGTGAAAATCCTTCATTAAACATTTGATTACCTTTATAAAAGTAAGTCGATCTGCTCACTTCGTAATTTTAAAATCCATGTTCTTGCTAATAGAATATTTGAAATTCAAGAGAACGCCATCGAATCTCGATGTTATAACGAGTCCCTATTCCAGAGGAAATTGTTGCTTTTTTTTAAAATCGCCAAAACCGCGTCTCATTTACATATTTTACATCATTAATTGATTTTCCTTATTTACGATTTAGCCCTTTATATATACAAAGGCTAACAAGCAGCAAATAACAGATTTGACGATTAATTACACCCTGCAATATTACAGTTGCCGATATTAATAAATTTATTACATTCATTCATTGATTAATTTCAGCCATTTTCGGCAAATAATTTCTCAAAAATGAAAAAAGCAGCTCTGTAATATTACAACATCCCCAGCGGCAGTAATGACGTTTTTAGTATTTCAATATCGTTTAATCTATTTCTTAACAGTGCATGTACAATGGTAGATGGTATAATTTCCTCTATGAAAACATTATATTCTTTTTATCATTCACGCATTTTAGATTTTCTAACATTTTTCACCAGTCATAGAAAATAATTTTTGATTTGGCCAGAGGCTAAAAGGGTCTCTCCAATATTCGGTATTTTTAATCTTAAAGGCGTATTTCAGTGCTCCTTCAATTTCTTATTTCAGCACCTACTGGTCATTTTTTATCGCCGACTTAGGTCAGGTGCAAACAGCAATAAATTCATATCATATTATATTACATTATAATCATTTCCGTTAAGATGATAATGTATTCTGCACCGAATTATGTCCAACACGCACCGCCCTCAATAAACACATACATACACAAAGAAAATATAATACATCTATCATATATTCCAGTATAACAAAGTTAACCACAAAATCCTGTAATATACCGGTGGTGTACGGTAGGTAGGAACATAGGGATTGAACATGGGAAATTAGTTTTATGCAATATCCTGCCCTCCTGTACATTTTACAGAAAAGTAGGGTTTAAAGTTGTTCAGAATTAAAAGGTGCATACAAAACTGTTTTAAACGTTTTCTTAAGCTTTTGGTATACCCGCAAAAATAAATTTCAACATTTTTGTTCTTAGTAGCAATTCCTAAAACAACGAAAGTCATGGCTAAAAAATCATTCCGAATTATAGATCCATAATTATATTTGTCCATTTGATAGTTGATAAATTCGAGGATAAATTACCACGCTGTTTGTTCAAATATGCTCTTTCGTGTAGACGTTGAGTTGAAATGTTGAATTTCATTTTTACAATCGGTATAAAGCTAAGAGATTTACTCGTAGGTATAAAGCTTTGAATGTTATCTTTTATAAAGCGTCAAAAGCGGCATCTAGTTTTGTATAACCGCATGGTATAATCCAAATATTTAACATTTTCCTTCGCAAATGCCATCTGTATATGTGTAGTACAATCTTAATGTTTAGGGTAATTTTCCACGCTTAGCAAGAGAACACGAGGGATCGGGACGGCGGTCTTAATCCCATTACCTACTATAAAAGATATCGAAAAAAAGTAGGAGCAAATTGTGCAGTTAGCGTCGCCATGATTATTTCAAAATATTTCTGGTCACCAGTGGCGGGTTGTATTCCAATGGCGTATCACGCGTAACTTTGCCCATATGTTCAAAATGGAAAGTCTAGTGTTACACAGATGAATAGAAAATTTTGAGATCTATTATTTGATGAGTAACAGAAGATGTGATTCTGTTTAATATTTTAAAGTCGATTGTGGTGGTGATAAATTTCACAAAGACAGGCAAATAAAAATTACTGTCAAACATATATCCTTTTCAATGGACATTTTTTAGTGAACACGGTATGGCTATTAAACGTGAATCGCTTTAGATACTCCACCCTATAGACGGTCATAGGTTGAACACGAATAACTGTTGTATATGAGCTCCATTTACTACTTATGGCAATATAATATATAATAATATAATAATTTATTAACGCTACAAGGCATTTTGCATACAAATTAAAATTATAGTGATACACAATAAAATACACAACATAAATCAATAAAACGAAGGACAAGATCGACGTGTAGGAGAGATAGCGAAAAACTTGTTTATTGGATCAACAGTGAATTCCCAGTACGTTTGAAGGCGGCTAGTGGCAGTCCGAAGAAATCGATTTTCAGATGTAAGCTGTTGATCAGGTCAACCATGCGGTTTAAAGGGCTGTTTTGGAAGTATAGCGTTCGGCATTGTCGTGCATGTAGAAGTCGAGCCGAACGAACAAATCGGTACGTTTAAATTAATAGTGGATAAAATATCCGGACAGTTTAGGTGACCATTTAGTAGTTTGAAACCAAAACATGCGGTAAGTAAATTTCTCCTCTGTTTAAGAGTCAGTATTCCCAAGTAAAGTCGGACATTTTCAGTGCGATCCAAAATGATTCCATGAAGAAGGAATTTGTACTTTATAAGGCGAAGAAAATTGTTCTGTATCTTTTCCAACCGATTGACGTGAGTTAAGTAGTATGGTGACCAGATCGTGCAGCAATAGTCCAGATGCGACCTAACCAGGGAGAAGTATAAAGTCCTCAGTGCGGTTATGTTGAAGAAATCCTTACATTGGCGACGAATGAGCCCAACCATTTTGCTAGCCTTCGAAATAACATGATCGTAGTGATGCTGGAAATTCAATTTTGTGTCAAGTACTACCCCCAGGTCCTTGATGATGCCCATATGTTGAAGTTCTTGACCACAAAGATGGTAGAGCGGAACAGAAGGCGATGATTTCTTCGAAAAACAAATTGAACAACATTTGGTTAAGTTCAGTTGCAAATCATTATCTAATACCCATATTTCAAGTTGTACCAAATCTTGTTGAAGGATCAGCACATCCAGGGTGTTCTCGATAGGTCTGTAGTCGAGCTTAAGATCGTCAGCAAAAAGGGCATGATTTGAGGAGAATATCGAAGATATGTCGTTGACGTATGCCAGGAACAAAGGCGGGCCGAAATGTGTCCCTTGCGGAACTCCAGATTTGATGTCAATGGGATCCGACAAAGTGTCATCGATTTGGACTCGTGCTTTACGACCAGCTAAGTAGCTTTCCAACCATTTCACTGCTTGGTTACCTAGACCGTACTTTTTTAGCTTGAATATCAGCAATTTGTGGTTAACCCGGTCAAATGCTTTGGAAAAATCTGTGTAGATCGAGTGCACTTCAATACCTTGATCAAGAGAACCAAAAATCCGGTTCAAGTATAGAAACAGGTTTGTTTCCACGGATCTTCCTTTTGTAAAACCATGTTGATTAACCGATAACACTTGCGAGAAGGCCTGGGTGAACTGCCGGACAACTATGGATTCGAAAAGTTTCGGTATAGCCGACTGGATGGATATTGGTCTGTAGTTATTGTAATCGGGCTTGATTCCATTCTTGAAAATCGGTGTAATTTTCAAATTCTTCCAGGCACTCGGAAAAACACTTTTCTCCAACGAAGATGAAAATAAAAGGAACAATGGTCGGAATATTGATTGAGCACAGTTCTTGAGAAATTTTGGTGGAATTTCATCCGGTCCTGTGCTTCCAAATTCATCAATAGCTGATAGACCGCCAAAAACCTCCTCGGCCGTTATTTTGAACTGAGCGAGCGCGATTTCACTGGTCGTGGAGAACGAATTTTCGTGAATGCGGCCCTCCACGAAAGCTGTAGAAAAGTGTTTGGCAAAATGATTGGCAATTTCACGACGGTCAGATGTGGACTCATCATCTTTTATCATCAAAGGAGGGATAATAGAAGTTTTGTTCATATTATGATAAAATTTCCAGAACGACTTCGGATTTAAAGTAACATTTTCTTCACAGGTTTTAATAAAGGTGTCATAGCACTGTGTGGTCAAGGATTTACACTGAGTTCGCAACTCGGTAAAAACTTGATAATCGATGTTGCTCTTAGATGCTTTATATGTTTTGTGGGCAAGCTTCTTATCCCTAATCAGCTTATGTAGTTTACTACTAAACCATGGCGGGTACGTTGATTTAAAACATTTAATTTTTGGAACACATACATTTAAAATGTCGTAGATGACTGTGTAAAAGTTTTCAACATTTGATTCCAAATCTCCATTGAAAAATAGTGAATGCCAGTCCACGGAACGAATGTAGTCATTGATTTGATCATAAGGAGCCTTCGAGAAATTGAATTTGTAGACTGGTTGTTGATTCGAGTCATCACACTTGAAGAAACCTTGGTGGGTGTGAAGCGCTACACTAAGTGCTGGGTGGTAGGAATCACAGTTAACTAAATTAATATCACAGTTAGAAACGGAAGTATCACAGTTAGAAAAGACTAGATCAAGGATATTGTCATTCACCCGGTTGTTGATTGAGTTGAATTGATGGAAGCCGAACAGGTTGAATGCGTCACATATAAGCTCTGAAATGCGGTTGCGATTACAAAAAGCAGTAAGGTGTCCATCTTCCTCGTCGCTATCCCAAGTGGTATTAGTCAGGTTATAATCTCCTAACAGTATAACTCTGGCTTCCGGGAATTTATCAAGAGCTGATTCCACAGACGTTATGTGGGATTCATAGACAGCAACATCAGAGTTGGGCGGGATATAGGTGCAGCAAACAAGAATGGTCCCCTGAGGACTTAAATCGATTATTGCCCAAATTTCTTCTACGATGGAAACTTGATGTACATTCAGAGGAAGCGATTTGAATGTTGATTTGATTGCGATAAGCACACCACCACCACGAACTTTGACACTCGTTACGGGCGACCTATCTTTGCGGTATACAGTAAATATATTTGCATCGAATAGTTCACCGGAAGCAATTTCAGGAGTTAACCACGTTTCCGTTAAAGCAATAACGTCGAAATCGATGGATAATGAATTACAATAAACCGATTTCACCTTAGTCTTTAGGCCTCTAACATTTTGATAATAAATATCCATAAATGCAGAGTCATTAGTTATCCTTCTGACACCGGCCCCACCGCCCTTGAAAAATTTACGGCAGTAGAATTGATACCTCTTCTAGCAATGAAAACAAATTCACCTTGGGCCACTTGCTCGCATCCAGCAAACTTTTCAAGTGCGATTCCCTTACACCAACTTTAAAAGAGCAGGTGTCTTTATTATCAACTAGTAGAGAAGAGACAACATCGGTAAGATTCCATTTCGATTTAACAAAATCAGTAATGGTATCCGAGGAAGTACCACTTCTAACTCTGCCTACATACACCCATTGACGTCTCTCTGATCCTTCGAAGGTATTGGAATCGGAACCGCCATTAACATTCCCGGAGTCCATTTCCCCAATAAAAAGAGGCTTTTGAAATCTCCTCCGGCGGGACGTTACTACTTGAAAGTCATCAGTCTTCGGCTTATCTAAATTATCAATGGCATTCGTAACGGCATTATGGACCTGCTCCTGCGATGTTGACGGGATAGCTGTTGAATGTTTAGTAGCAGTAGTAGCACGTGTTGAAGATTTGACTGGCGTATTGCGATTAATGCCTTTAGTAATATTGGCAAATGACATTTGTTGTTTGTTATTATTTGACACTATATCTTCTAACGCGGCGACCTTGTTGATAAGAGTCTTGTTTTCCTTACGAATTTCAACTAATTCGTTTTTCAAATCGACGACCAATACATTCTGTTTTTTGACAGCTTCTACTAATTCCATTAAGACATATCGATCAACAATTACGGAATCACCATTGTCACTGCGCAACCGTTTTCTCTGATAGCCATCGCCTTCAGGAATTTCAGTAGGAATACACTTAGAACATCTCCATGTGGAACGTTTTGCATGAAACCCTCTTAAATCCGTGATACACACACATGCAGCATGATAACATGCTGAACAATTTGTACACTGAATTAACACTTTTAAATCGATAATCAAATCGGAACACTTAGCACAACGCTCCTCACTCATCGTGCGTTGCACATTCAAAATATGACACCGATTCTTCAGGTTCCAGATTAATCTCCGATCAATGGTTTTTAAGGAAGATCGACCGATTTACCTGAGAGTTTTGACGTGCAACTCAATCGGCCGCATAGGCTGAGTAGGCACTAAAAAACCACAGGTGGCAATTTAATACAATTGACGAATATAAAAACCTGCTTTTTTTGAGTTGAAAAGAAAAATATAAACATTGCTAACGAAGCGACGGCCACTTCAATCACTATAGTATTTACTCCAAGTAAACAGATCCATACAAATTTTTGTGCCTTAATTTGTTACCTTACCTATACTCATTTGTATCATTAGTATCAAATTTTGTACCACCTTACGGTCGCATACGCATTACGTGTTCAAACCTTTTGAATAAAATAACCGTAACTGTCTATTTATAGTTTTCATGCTGAGAATCCAAGCTTTCAGATGGGCGGAGGAAATTCACACAAGTATTAGATGCATTTCATAATAAGTAGGTACGTTAAGAAATTGGGTAGTTTTTGAAGGAGAATTCAGAATATAATATATTTTTAAAATAGCCACAATTGTCTTTTAAAAAATTAAAATCTTCAAATCGCTTAGAATTACTCTTCTTGGGAATTTCTCATAATGCTCTCACAATCTTCTTAGAATGTCTACATAATATTTTTAGCGCATTTCCACAAAAATAAAAAAAAATTCGCTATTGTGGCCACTTTGTCCGTCCGTCCGTCCGTCCGCTAACTTTGCGACGCTACTAGTTCTTTATCTTAAGAGCTATTGTTCTACTTTTTTCGCTATTGGGTTCGTTATGGTGTCGAGTCTTGTACCAAGGAAGGAATTTTTTCTGTACCGCTTACAAAAAAAGTTATTGTAAAAAAAACAAAAAACCGTTTTTACATGTTCCATAATTTTACACTTTTGCCGTTTATTAACAATCCTAGAGATCGTTTATAATTTTGCATTGCTATCTGTCGCCTGCGCATTTCCACAAAATAAAAAAAAATGCGCTATTGTGGCCACTTTGTCCGTCCGTCCGTCCGTCCGTCCGTCCGCTAACTTTGCGACGCTACTAGTTTTTTATCTTAAGAACTATTGTTCTACTTTTTTCGCTATTTGGTTCGTTATGGTGTCGAGTCTTGTACCAAGGAAGGAATTTTTTCTGTACCGCTTACAAAAAAAGTTATTGTAAAAAAAACAAAAAACCGTTTTTACATGTTCCATAATTTTACACTTTTGCCGTTTATTAACGAATCCTAGAGATCGTTTATAATTTTGCATTGCTATCTGTCGCCTGCCGGTTGGTCTCTCCGTCTGTTCCTTTGTCTGTCTGTCCATCTATCTGTCCGTGTGAACGATAACTTTGTTTAATGAAATCTTGATACATAGGCACTTGGAATAAAGGAAAATCAAACGCCAATTTCAAAATTTGGTTTTGCGCATGCGCAGTGCCAACTTTTTTATCTATGGAACTATTTAAGTGAAATTTGATACTTAGGCGCTTGGAACAAAGGAAAATCTAACATTAGTTTTAAAATTTAGGTTTGCGCATGCGCAGTTCCAACTTTCTTATTTAGAAAAGCATTGAAATGAAATTCTTCTCATAAACTGAAATTGAAGTAGCACGTCAACAATGGATTGCCCATGTGCAACGCTATCTTTCATATTTGTGGCCGGATTTTTATGATTTTAACAGAAGTTGCATCTTATAAATGGGAAATGAATGCAAGTGGAAATGCGCTTTATGTAAATCGTTTACGATTACTTTTTAACTTGTTATAATATTTGATACCTTCTCAAACTTCATTAAAATCGTCATACAACCTTTTTATAATCATCTGTCGTTTTGGAAACTTCTCAGATCTTTCCTAGAATGTTCTTAGGATAACCTTAGTAATAGAATATCTTGAAACAAATTCTTGAAATGTTCACGAAGTCAAGTAAGTATGATTTCATTATTTTCATGTTATGTTAATGTCCAAAAATCTCCTTTTTTTCGTACCCCTTCAGTGGAAAAATATTTAATAGTGGCGAAAAAGTTTTGATAGTATAATGTACCTAAAGCCACCATTTTTTTTTCATTTTTCGAGAAAACGTCACCCTTTACAAAAGGTCCTGCTTGTCCTAATACTGTGGAGGGTTCAAATTACAACGCCAAAGTTTTGACTAAGTCCAAATATAGACAGATAAACTCAAGTAAGCACAACCCCATAGCACTCAACGAGATACATTCTCTGCTTTAAAGTTTAAATTCAATATTCCAGACATTTCTTTATAGTATGCAAGATCTGCGTGGAACGTACCCACAATGTTCATTTGGCATAAAGGAAAACTTGCTTCACTTTTATCTGTCAATATTTGGTTTTAGTCAAAATGTTTGTGTTGTAAGACAGGTTTTTTTCTACGACAATTCAACTCATGTATAAAAAATCACATAAGCCGCAGTGTAATTGTCACTTTGACAGCGGCAAAAGTTACCTGCAACTTTTCCAGCGACAAATGCACTAGTGGTTTTTTCACTTATTCATTTTCGAACCAATAATCGCATTATCCTTACCCATATGACTAGTTTGACGTCTGTCAATAATTGATTAGTTTGGTGAATTTCTTGTTCGTTAAATTGTCCTGCCGAATTACACTCGAGGTTTGTATTTAAACCGAATAAATTTGGGTTGTGGCAATTCAAATCTGTTTCCTTTTAGCAATTGGACTCGAAAAACTGTCAACCTAAAAATGCTCCACCTGCGGTGTCGCATTTTTATTAGTTGACAGTTTTTCTCGTCTAATTGCTAGGCAACAGATTTTCATTACCTAAACAACCCAAATTTACTCGGTAAAATACAAACCTCTTGTGCAATTATAAGTGACAATCGCGCATTTTAGAGGAAAACGATGGGTGCTTAGGATGATGTAGGTAGGTAATTTAGTCGATAATCGCTGGTAACGTCTATTTCATAAATAAAACTACAAAAAGATGATGGATCCATTAAAGCGCAAAGCAAAGTCTACGTTAAATTCCCTTCACTTTATTGCGGTAACGCGGGCTCCTAGCCGAGGTTACATTATATGGATTTTTCATTACATTCATTCAATCAGCATCTTGGGAATGGAAACTCACATCACAGAACTATTACGATTGTACGACTAAAGCGATCTCTGCACTTGTAATCTTTTACTATCGCCTGCTTTTCGTCTAGGCAGCATCTTTGTGAAATAAAGGAAGCCATTCTTAGGCTTGATATTTCCAGAAACACAGTAGGGATGATATCAGGATGTTGTAATAACCACAGGAACAAAGAACAGAAATAAAGGCATGACAACAAACAAAAAACCAGCCTTTGTTTTCCTCGCCGCTTGGGTTAGTTAGTTAGTTCATAATATAGCAAGATCATGAGGTAGATACAACATAATTCTAAAAGTGCTTTTAGTGTACCTACACCAGACCGTTATGAAATTAATAACAACTATTACTCTGTTTTGTACTTGCTTTCATAAGTTACGGACAGTTAATTTCAACGATTAATTCGCAGGTGAATGAAATGCGCTAAAGAGAATTTTACTAAACCAAAACAACCCTTAAGACCTTTATATCCTAAACTGAGCGGATCTTGGGGTTTTATGGTGAGTCCAGCTTATTATTGCGATGCTTGCTTTTGGGATACCCTCTTTTTATTTATTTAACTAAAGATTAGTGTGTGTGTTTTCTGTCCACCTCCACATTCACATGAATCATATTTGAAAGATTCGAAGTCGATAGATTACCTCGGATGTTACTGATCTCGTGTGTGATTGGCTGAGACAGCAGATACGCAACACGATAAAGTTATCTACCAATAAACCAATTAATAGGATTTTTTTGTTAATTTTTGTTTTGTGCGTTACAAAGGTCTCGCGTTTTGTCCTTCATCGTGCGTCATCTGATTATACTTAAATTCATTTTTTAAATCCAACATTTACAATCGACAACGTAATAGTTACCTACCTATTTGTGCAACCAGTTGGGAAAAAGCACTATTTTTCGTAACGAACGAGTTATATACGAATAGTAGAGTTTCGCAACGTGTTTCACACAATATTTTTTTCTAATTTTGACCTTGAAAGAGATACTTTTCATCACCAGTTGCGAAATATTTGACGTCAACGAATTTTAAAAAGGTCCACTCAAGAATAAGACCTTCACAGAACAGAAACATAAATGGCGCTAAATTGTCACAGATTACAGCGTTTCCCGTGGTTGTACGGAGAACTATTTATCGCAGACTCAAATATTTTTTTGCAAAACCTGTAATTTTGCTCGTTACAGGAAATATTTTACCGTCGATTTTATACATACACATGGTTTAACACATGTCAATTTTGACTTTTGAAAGATTTGTGTGGCGGATTGTAACGATAAAATAAAAGGCATCGTTTCCCACATTTTGAAACAGATTGTTTTGTGCTTGAAACGCGAAGAGGGTTGAAATGTGCTGTTATTTCTCTACTGTTTATGCAAGGTATGGAATTTATAAATTACCAACGGTATAGGCGCAAAAGGGTGTAGACTTGAGTTTTATATTTATATAGACGTAGTAGATACTTATATTGTAATTCGTTTTAGATAATTCAACAACTTCCCACCCTCGCTTCTCAAGTAACAAGTAAGCACCAGGATCATGTTAACATTTGTTGTCAAAAGCTTGTGTGACAATTTGCTGAAACGGTTTTATTACCTCTTGGAACAAAAAATTTAGTTCTCAAGATATTTTTTAACGAAAATATTTAGTCCAAACAGCAATTAAAACCAAATATTTCGTACGACAAATCGTTA